TATATATATATATATATATATATATATAATATGTATGCTTTCTCCATCTTCTGAACTCTCTGATAGATAGGTAGGTAGGTAAATAAATGCATAAATAAATAAATTTTTATTTATTCCATAAATAAAATTTATTTCTTTATTTATGTTTTCTTCACCTTCAGGACTCTCTGATAGGCAGGTAGGTAAATGAATACATAAATAAATTTTCTCCACCTTCAGAACTCTGTTGGATAGATAAATTGATAGACACCTTTCTCTCTGGCTTCCCTGCGTTTCTTCTCCTCCAGGTCAAGCTTGCTGACGAGTCTCCTGTGCTGCTGGAGAGCCTGGTCATACACCATCATGGGGTCTGTCCTGTCTAGAGCCGGTCCCTGGGGTGGCCTGTTGTCTGCAGATTGTCCCAATTGGGAGAAGGCGGCCCTCTGCTGGTTCAGGAAGCTGCAGGTGGATTTCTCCAGCTCCGCCAGGTATTTGCCAGGCTCCAGGAGGCTGCTAACCCGCATGGTGGAGGGTCTGACGTCCTCCTCAGGAGGTTTTGCTCTGCTGTGGCCTGAGTAAGGACGGATGTGGGACAGAGGGCGGTCAGAGGGCGAGCTGAGGAGGGAGACGGGGTTCCAGAGTCTGCTGGGAGCAGGAGAAGAGGGGTGCTGGTCCCGAGGAAGAGGTTTGGGGGCGATGAGAGGCGGCGGCGCCCCTAGAGGTTGAGGCATGTCTCTGACACCCCTGTCATGATGGTGTGTGCCATACCTGAAACACAGAAAACATTTCTACAGAGCACCACTAGAGGGCACAATCATAACACACAATGGAAAGAGATGGGGTGTGCCATACTGGGGAAAAAAAATCATCAAAAAAATATCACTATTTTCGTCAGTCACATAATTAGACGTTATTTTGCTGAGTGTGTTTTTGCGCTGGTTTAAGCCTGTCATGACAGATGATCTGACTCCCAAAGCTTTTCAGTCTTCATTTTCTGTGCAATATTCAGTTCACAGCACTTTTCCACTATGATGCCATATTTGTCCCCATAAAGTTATAAACTGACTTTTAAAGGCCATTTTTACCTTTATAAGGGCAATATTTTTCCCACCCTAAATTGACTTTTAAGGTGCATTTTTATCTCTATGAGGGAATTTTTTGCCTCCTTAAATTGACTTTTAAGCTGCATTTATGTTACAAGGGCAATTTTTTTGCCACCTTAAATTGATTTTCATGGGACATTTTTACCTTTATGAGCTTAGTTACATCTTATTTAGCTTATTTACAATTTTTCTACTCTTTTTAGATGTATGCATCATCTTCTATGTCAAATTCATTTACTAATCACTACATTAATTTAGAATAATAAAACACTATCGACCAATCATTGAGTCATTGAGTCATTTATTCAACTGATTCATTCAAGCAGCTGATTCATTGTGTTTTTTGCTTGGATATGTACAACAGTTCTGTTGTGGCTTTGTTTGGAACTATATTTCTTAGCAAAAACAGACAATAATGTGTCTAAAATGTGTAAAAAGTAACTCACAATAATAACTTCTTGTTTATTGAATTGTTGTATAACATCTACATAACGCAGTGAAATCTTCACTCTCAAGGCAAAATGAGTGACATACTCAATGTCAGCTTCCACATCGTTAAAAAAAAAACAATTGCGATATCACAGACCCCTAACATGTGATTTTGTTTTCCTTTAACACTGACCTGTGAGTCTGTCTCTGTTCTGCTGGTTCTGCGGTTCGACCAACATCCTGCTGCTTGTCTTGCTGATGAAACTCCTGGCTGTGTCTGTCCGCTTTCTCCACCTTCAGCGTTCTCTGTCTGGAGGGCCATCTGTCGTCGTCCTCCTGCTCATGGGAGTTACCATGGGTCTGTGGCTCTTCCCAAACTGGACGCTTGAAGAGAGGCCAGGGCCTGAGGTTGAGATGGATGAAGGACCTCCTGAGGATGAGTATGGACCAGACTGAGGCATGAGCAGTGGCGTTTCTTTGGGTTTATCTGTATTGAGAGATGACAGATGCATAGATGAATGAGCATGTGCTTCTCAAAGCGGAACATCTGTAAGTATTTCATTTATATGTAGTAAATATACTAAAGGACCAAAATAGCAACATCTTACATGATACATTATTATGAAGGAACATTATTACTAAAGGAAGCTTTAGTAATTTTGTTAAATGTGTGTTTTTTTATTACAGTTTTTCAACTTAAATTTTCCAAGGCAATATTTCAAACTGTCATTTTTATCCGTTTTTTTTTTTTTTTAAAGTAAATATATTTTAAAATAAAAGTTTTAGTAGTTTTGTTTGCTTTTTTTTTTTTTTACTACCTTAGGTTTTTAGTTTTTTTTATATATATATATTTCTCTTTAACTTTAATAATTTTTGTAATAATTGTTTGTTATATATTGTTTATTTTTTTATTTGTTTGCTTTATTCATTTTAGTAGTTCAGCTTCAATTTATTTCAGTTAGTTGCCAAGGCATTTCTATTTCTATTTAAGTTTTTCATTATGGTTCTAAACTGTGTGCTGACATACTGAGCAAATTTAAAGCAGACGAGAAGAGAAGTTCTCTGTTTGAGAGGTGTATGAGAACGCAACCAACAAACCTAATGACTTTAACAAGACTTTAACAGCCGGCAGCAGACATGATGGGTTGATGGCATCCTTTGGGTTTCTCCAAACATAGACCCATCCAGATGTGGGAAAATAGCGTTATAGATGATTCATCAGACTATATTAATTACTGATTACCCATGAGCAATGCAATCAGTTACTGAAGCTGCAGGTAATACGAGTTTTCAAAGAAATTAAACACAGGATTGCAGCTCAGAGTGAATATCAATCATAATTTAAATGTTGAATATTCATGAACCCAGCTGCATGAAATGTGCAATAAGTACCTTATGTTCACAAGTAAATAGTGTGAATGATGTCTTAAAACAGATGTATTGCACCATTATATTAAATGGATTTAAATAAATGCAGTAGGCCCATACACTACTATTCGAGATAAGTACGATTGCTTTTTTTAAATAATACTTTTATGAAAACATTAAATTATTCAAAAGTGACAGTAAAGGCATTTATAACGTTAAAAAAGTTTTCTATTTCAAATGAATGCTAAATCACAGTTTCCACAAAAATATTAGGCAGCACATCTGTTTTCAATTTGATAATAATCAGAAATGTTTCTTGAGCTGCAAATCAGAACATCAGAATGATTTCTGAAGGATCATGTGACACAAACTGGTGTAAGAATGCGGAAAATTCAGCTTTAATATCACAAGAATAAATTACATTTTAAAGTATATTACCACAGAAAACTGTTATTTAAAATACAATAATATTTCACAGTATTACTGTTTTTAGTATTGTTTTATCAAATAAATGCAGCTTTGGTAAGCAAAAGAGACTTTTATATATATAATATAAAAAACGTAATTATTCCAAACTTTTAAACAGTATAGTGTATGTTTTCTATTATACTATGATTTGAATATTAATTTTACTATAATAATAGCCAAAATATCATTATATTATTTTACATATATAGACTTTGACATTTTTTTTTTCATCTCAATTATGCAATCATCATTTCCATGCTCATATGAGGATAGAGGTATTAAAGTCCTGATGGCAAAATGTAAGGAATAGTTCACCCAAAAATGAATCATTTACTCAATTTTGCATAATTCCAAACCCATAATATCTTCTTTATTCATCACAAATTAAATGTCACTGACTTGCACATCTTGTCACATGCTAAATTTGAATGTGCATGGCTTAAACTTTAGTCTGTTCCTCATACAAATGGATTCAGAGGAACTACTTTTATGTGCTTTTTGGAGCTTGAAAATGTTGGACCCCATTGGCTTTCAATGTAACAGCTGGAACATTCTTCAAAGTATCTTCTGTTGTGTTTTACAGAAGGGAAATGTTAATATTGTTTGTTTTGTTGTTTGTTTTTGGATCTATCATACCGGGTCTGTTAGCAGCGAGTCTTTCCTCCAGCGTGCCTCGTTCCTTCACGGGCTGCCGGTGTGTGTACGGATGAGACTGTGAGATCGAGTGTTGGCTGGCTGGCGGCTCGTGACTCAGGTGGCGTTTCTCCACGGCCTTGACCGCCTGGATGTCTCTGCCTCGCTCTTTTTTAATCTCCAGCTCTCTTTCCTTCTCTCTCTGCACCTCCTGTTCCCACTGCCGCTCTCGTTGGATTTCACGCGTTCTCTCCTTCTCTCGCTCTCGTTCCCTCTCCTGCTGGCGAAGCTCCTCTTCCATCTGCAGCCTGTGGAGGGTCGAAACACACACACAAGCAAACAAATGGTGTGAGATGCAACACTCTCAACAGGAACAAGAAGAATAGACTCAGCGAGAGGCTGCAGGAATACAGGACAGTGTTGATGATGTTTGGTACAGAGGACGAGGAAGACGGCGAGAGCGTGTTTGTGTGCGTCAAGGTGACGTGCGTGTGTGTGCGTGTGTGTGTGATATATAGGACAATATCATATGATGATGCCGGAATGATCATATTTACACATATAATTATCACTCGGGGGCGTCAGTTAAAGAATCACTAAGTAGAGTTTAACGTTATGCAAATGAGCATCGCTGTGACATGGCAACAGCCAATTGGAGAGCAGACAGTAAAGTTAGTGTAATTTGCATATATAATGCAGCATATATAACTAGATTTGTATTTATTGAATAAAAGTATGAGCTCTTGCTTGGCAGTAAACAAATTGTGGTGAAGGTTTTGGTAAAAACATGGTCAAAGTTTTGAATATAGATGAATATAAGAAAGAGCAGGTTAATAGTAATATTCAATATAGATGCAACAACTGATAATAGATAAAAAGAGAAATTAATTATTACAAAACGAAATATTACAAAAGACATTGCGATCAGTTTCTAAATGCTGAAATTTCTATATGATCTCTTTTAACTCTTTTAACATTTTAACTCTGCTGAAAAAACAAAAACCAAACTGGTAAATTAGCCTAAGATGGTATTGCTATTAATAATTACTGTATATTACATAAAATATTTCATTAATATATTTTTTTAAAGAATACAACTAAATTAATATATTAATATATAAAATGTAATTTTTAAATGCCATTAAATATTACATTAAATATAAATATCACTTTAAAAAGTTACATTTAAATTAAATTGAATAAAAAATACATAAAGTAAATTGATAATAAATAGATAATAAAATTATCAACTAAAAGTCTGGAGTCAGTAATCAGTTGGAGAAAGCACTGTACAACAGTAGAAATTGTAAGGGATTTTAATACTATTCTTCGTCTTGCAACCAGTATAATCATTAATTCTATCTTGAACATCCATTACATGCATACACTGTAAAAAAAAATCCGTAAAATTTACAGTAAAAAATTTTTACACTGTGGTTGCCGGAATTATACCGTAAAAAAAAAGGTAGCAACGTTTTAGGTTTTACGGTTTTAACTTACATTTACAGTTAAATACCGTAATTTAATTAACTGATATAATGTTAATATACCAATCTATTGAAGTACTGAAATCTGTTTTGTAACTTTGTAATATACTGATAACCACCAAATGCAGGTGGTGATGAGAAAGTCACACGATGAACCAAAGCCCATCACAAGCAGCTTTTAAATAATAACATGTAGAGAAGGTGCTCAGTGTCATTCACACAAACGCTAAACAGCATCATGGTAACACACATGAAACTGAAATAATGCAATAAACATTCATTTAACAACATTAGGTGTAACACACAACCCTAATATACAAAACTGATAAGAAAAAACTAAGAAGAAACATAGTTATTTCAATAAAAAAACATCAAATTTGAAATGTAACGCAGGGAATTCTGGGAATGTCAATTTACGGTTATTCACTGTAAATTATACAGTATTTTTCACTTCCAAAAACGGTACACTACCGTAAAATTAATGTCCAATACATATAATGTCATATACAGTTTTTCACCGTATATAGTAGGGGAATTTACCGTTAACCATTTAACAGGTTTTTACTGTATTTAATAATTGCATGCAACATTTATATAATTTAATAATAATGAGACATCATTATAATATTCTTAAACTTATTCACATAATTAAAAAAAATAAATAAATACTGGTATAAATATAAATTATAAAAATCTAAATTCGATGTAAGTATAGAATAATTATATTTATTATATATTATAAAAAGGTAAAGCATCAAAAACAGCTGATTTAATTCTTAAGTTTAGTGAGATTTATTTAATTAATTAAATTTAAGTAAGCTACATAATAATATATAGATTAATCAAAATAAAATAATAAAATATATTTAATATTCAACAAAGTAATAAATAAATTTATATATTAAATTAATTAATATTAATATAATAATATAAATGTTTTAATTTAATGGCTAAATGTTATCAAATATTATAAAATATAAGTACACTGCATAAAATGTTATACATTTAAATGATTAAAATACATGTTATAAAATTAAACTAAATTATCTACAAAACAATGCAGATCATTAGAGTATGTTTTACAAGGAAATACCATTTCAGTTAATACTTCAGCATTTCATGTTTAATTCAGTGTTACATGCTGTTTCTCTGTAATCCTTTGTAATTTACTTTGTAATTCTCTGTAATTTTCTAAGTGAAATGGTTTCTCCACTAATTTTTTTTCATCTGAAAAAAACGATGAATAATGGATTAAATGCGCAAGTTGCAGCCATTATAATTATTCATTCCATCTTGTACATGTGTAGTGTGCGTGCGTGCGTGCGTGCGTGTGTGTGTGTGTGTGTGTGTGTGCGTGTGTGTTCATGTACCTCTCAGAGTGCAGCGCTGACAGCGACTGGTGTGCGATGTCAGGAGGGTAAAAGACGCCCGGCATGGGCAGGTGCACAGCAGACGGGTGGAGGGCCTGCAGGGTTCCCCCCTCTGGTTTAATTCAGTGTTACATGCTGTTTTTCTGTAATCCTTTGTAATTTACTTTGTAATTCTCTGTAATTTTCTAAGTGAAATGGTTTCTCCACAAATTTTTTTTCATCTGAAAAAAACGATGAATAATGGATTAAATGCGCAAGTTGCAGCCATTATAATTATTCATTCCATCTTGTACATGTGTAGTGTGCGTGCGTGCGTGTGTGTGTGTGTGTGTGTGCGTGTGTGTTCATGTACCTCTCAGAGTGCAGCGCTGACAGCGACTGGTGTGCGATGTCAGGAGGGTAAAAGACGCCCGGCATGGGCAGGTGCACAGCAGACGGGTGGAGGGCCTGCAGGGTTCCCCCCTCTGGAAGCGGGTAGTAATGCGAGCGGAGAGCGGACAGACTGTAATAATCCTCCATCCTGATCAACCACAGGAAGCAGAGACAGAGAGAGCAGCTAATTAGTGCCTCTATAAATAACCGGCTCGTTCATTAACCTCTGCTTTCTGGCCCTGCGACATGAACAGCACTGCCTATTTCTGTCGGTGCGGTCTCACCACAAAGACACACGCTGAGGGTGTTATTCATACGGACAGAGAGAGAGAGATGACGAAAGAGGATCAAACCGAGAGACTGTCCATATATCTGACAGAACAGGACATTTCCTGCGCTTTTCAAATGAAAGACTGTGCGGACAAACACAAACAAATCCAGTCTATTTTCCACGCTTTCACTAAACATAAAAATGAAAGTTTTTTTTTTTTTTTTGCTACTGTACCTTTAAAACGTTGCCTTTGCTCTGATTGGCTGAACTCTGAACACTGAATAGATGTTGATATGTAAATGTAGGCAGTCATGATGCTCTCGTGGTTTTTGCAGCTTCGTTTCAGTATTTGATCTGAATGATCTATAATTTGTTCGTCTTTGTCCGCACATTTTTTCTTTCTTTTAAAAAGCGCAGGAAATGTCCTGTTCTGTCAGATATTTATCTATCTATATATATTAAGAACTTCTTTGTATTTTTATTTTTGTTTACATAATAATATATATTTAATAAATGTCTATTATAATATAACCATCAAGATCAAACGTCACTTTGCCATAGGGAAATACTCAGTTTTGGAGTGTTTTTTGGTAAAAGACTAACAAATCTAGCATACAAAAAGAACATACTTGTCATACATACATACATCTGTTTGGATATGTGTGTGTGTGTGTGTGCATTTTATCTCAAGATCTTGTGTCTCAGACAGCAGTACATCTGTTCATGTGTGTGTGTGTGTGTGTGTGTGTGTGTGTGTGTGTGTGTGTGTGTGTGTGTTGTGTGTGTGTGTGTCCAAGCCTGAGGTTCACTTCCCTCATTAAAGCCATTAAATCATGTGCAGGAGACGAGACAGCATGCCAAACATTCACACACAGAACAGCTGAGCTGATCTGACGGTTCAGAGTCACACAAATATATTAATACAATTTAAAATATTTCATGCCATTCTTTATAATCTGGTGGTTCAACTATAATACACGCTGAGAGAAGAGCATCACCAAAAAAAGTCCCTATAAAGCAAGTAACCATCTTCGGTGGTGTAACACTAAGATCAAATATCTGGGCTCACAACCAAACATTTGAATCATCTATCAGCAACTATCAGCAATGTGATAACTGTGGTGTAATATAAACTACGTCCAGATCAGAGGACACGTACAAAAATAGTTATTGAGATAAACATTTACATGTATGCATTTGGCAGATACTTATCCAAAGCATTTTTCACACATTTTTTACCCTGAGAATGAGTTCAGCGAACACATGACCTTAGCGCTGTTAGTACCATGTTATGCTGTTAACAGGCAAAAACTGTATGTCTGTGAGGTGCATTTCATTGGGTAAACATTTATTCGGTTGAATACAACCTGGCATGACCAAATAAACCCAATGCAAAATTCCTACTGAAATTACTAGATTTTGTCTCTGAAAATTGTAAAAGCAACATTGAATGCCACTGCATTTTTCCTGCAACCTGTGCATTTTCTCACAGGTTTAGCAAGAAGAACAAAATAAGACTCCAAAAAAGTGACATTTAGTCCAATAAGGCCCCTGACCCAACCAATACTACTTACCCTACGTGCAAAAACAATGTATACTTCAGGTTAAGTGTACAGTGTGCGTTAAGCACATTTCATCAGCAGCATAGAGCTTGCGTCCTGTACATGCACAACCAGATTTTTCTAACCACGCTTACTTTGTACGCTCATCTTACAAATGCACCATTATTGTTTTACACTACTTAGTTTGTCCACAAGGTGGCGCCACTGTATGTTGGTTGTTGTTTCACAGTTGACAGAGACGGAAACGGAACATTAAACTAATGGAGACACAACAATAATCAACGCCTTTGAGATGGTTAAGAGATACACGCAACTTTAGTTTAAAAGAGTACGAAAATATATTTATCGCTTATAACTTCTGGACAGAAATAACGCAAATTCTAGACAAGGATGAATCTTTCTAGTGCACATGTGGAGTGCCTATGTTGGATTATACTATGAAAGTCTGTGCGTTAGGCTGTTGCAAACACTATTTTGCATCAAAAGTATTTGCGTCAAAATCAAAGTGCACTTCAGACAAAATTTGGCGACATTTCGTTCTATTATCAGAAATCGCTATCAAACCAAGCAGCTTTCTGCAGGACAACATGGCAAATATGCATGACCAAATGAATCCGATGCGAAATCTGCATGGGGAAATTTTTTGCTGGATTGCGTAGATTCCTACTGAAATGACTAAATGTGTTTGTCCACAAGGTGGCGCCACTGTCCGTGTCGTTGTTTCCCAGTAAAAAAAAAAAAAACTGAGACGGTTAACAAAAACTTTCAACTCTAGTTTAAAAGAGAATGAAAACATATTTACAGCTCATAACTTCTAGAGAGAAATAGCGCAAATACTGGACAAGAATGAATATTTCTAGCGCGCATGTGACGATTGCTTGCGTTTGTACATGCTATCAAACAGACTAATATTCGGCTGCACGCATAGGCTAAGCATTTGCATCAAAACTGAAGTATACTTTAAGATTTTAATTGTTTTTCATGTCTAATATAGGAAATTTTATTTAATATTCAAACTACAGCACACACCTGTATGAAGCGAGCGAGGGTTGACAGAGACGGAAACGGAACATTAAACTAATGGAGACACAACAATAATCAACGCCTTTGAGATGGTTAAGAGATACACGCAACTTTAGTTTAAAAGAGTACGAAAATATATTTATCGCTTATAACTTCTGGACAGAAATAACGCAAATTCTGAATCTTTCTATTGCACATGTGGAGTGCCTGTGTTGGATTATACTATGAAAGTCTGTGCGTTAGGCTGTTGCAAACACTATTTTGCATCAAAAGTATTTGCGTCAAAATCAAAGTACACTTCAGACAAAATTTGGCGACATTTCGTTCTATTATCAGAAATCACTATCAAACCAAGCAGCTTTCTGCAGGACAACATGGCAAATATGCATGACCAAATGAATCCGATGCGAAATCTGCATGGGGAAATTTTTTGCTGGATTGCGTAGATTCCTACTGAAATGACTAAATGTGTTTGTCCACAAGGTGGCGCCACTGTCCGTGTCGTTGTTTCACAGTAAAAAAAAAAAAAACTGAGACGGTTAACAAAAACTTTCAACTCTAGTTTAAAAGAGAATGAAAACATATTTACAGCTCATAACTTCTAGAGAGAAATAGCGCAAATACTGGACAAGAATGAATATTTCTAGCGCGCATGTGACGATTGCTTGCGTTTGTACATGCTATCAAACAGACTAATATTCGGCTGCACGCATAGGCTAAGCATTTGCATCAAAACTGAAGTATACTTTAAGATTTTAATTGTTTTTCATGTCTAATATAGGAAATTTTATTTAATATTCAAACTACAGCACACACCTGTATGAAGCGAGCGAGGGGTGAGGCAAATATCCTGAGTGAAAGTACGCCAGAGCGTCGGCTGCAGTTCCTGGGCTGAGCCCTAGAGGGAACCCTAAAGGCATGTGCAGCTCTTCAGCGGAGGCATACGGACGAAAGCCATCGCGAACATACTCATCCTGAGCCCCTGCTAGCAGCATATGAGGAACCTGCCGGGACAAGCTGAGAGAGAGAGGAACACCGGATGAGTGACAGAGCGCTGTAGGATGTGCAGGTGTGAGTATGTGAGCGACGGCCTCTGTACTGACTGAGTCTGCAGACGCGGGTCCTGCATCAGTGCACTCGGGGTCATGCTGAAAGGATGGGCTGAACCCAGGTATGGAGGGAGAGAGAAGGAGGGCTTCTCCTGGCCTGGTAAAGGCCGATCTGGGGCCAAACGCTCATGGCCGGACCCTCTTAATCCTGCATCAGCCTCAAAAAAAGAAAAAAACATTTATGTTAGGGCATCATTATTTTGCAGGTTATTGACCTATATAATTTTTAGTTTTTTAAAAATCCAGTCAGTGAATTCAATTTTCAGAAAACAGACATTTTGAACAGACATTACATATGCTGTAGCCATAATGATTTAATATATAAGGTGCTATGTATTGGTTGTCACCAATGCATAGCACCTTATATATTGAAGTGAGAATTAATGTAAATGGATCTATGGCTGCGTTCACACAGTCAGTGTTTGGAACGTCCAAAATAAAGAAAAACATCTTCTCGAGTCTTTTCTAAAATGCATGTGCATTTCCAAGTTCCTAATGTGTATATGTGGTACGTAACAGTTTCATTACAGCTTGAATACATGTGAGTTTAAATGAGAAATAATAAAAAAAAGAATAAAACATTATGCTAAATTACTTAAAGATTTCTTTTAAAAAATTACATGTTTGTTTCTTCATTATGATTTTAAGACCCAGAAAAAGCAAAAACTTTTAATTCAAATATATATATATATATATATATATATATATATATATATATATATATATATATATATATATATAAACA